CTGTCTTCAGTTATTACTCTGTCCTGGTGTTTTTTTTTTTTCTTTTTTTTTTTTTGAGACAGGGTCTGTTATGCAGTTTAGGCTGGCCTTGAACTCACTGTATAGCCCAAGCCGCCCTTAAACTTGCAGCAATCTTCCTGCCTCAGTCTCCCCAAGTGCTGGGATTATAGGCGTGTGCCACCCCACCCAGCTTGGTATATTTTTCTTAGTGACAGAGAAATCACTGTGGCCACCCAAACCCTGTTTCCACCCTTATCAATCTTGCAATCTGTATTGAAATTTCCATTTAGATCTGTGACTTAAACATGTGGGCATGTACAAGAAACATTTTTACGAAATCTAAAAAATGTAAAAATAAGACTTTATCCAGAAAGTGAAGATGAAGCAAAAGTGGCAAAACAGACATGGAATGCCAACTGATTCCTAGAGTCAAACAACAGCATAGTGCTAATGAGGAAAAAATAAAGAGATGGGTTTATGAAACTAGGATCTTGAGGGAACAACTGTTTGTTTTGTTTTGTTTGACAGTACTGAGGATTGAACCCAGGGCTTTGCACTAACTGCATCCCCAGCCCTTTTTTTATTTTAAGAGACAAGTTCTTGCTAAAGTGCTAAATTGCCCAGGCTGGGCTCACTTTATGATCCTCCTGCCTCAGCCTCCAAGAATGCTTGTATTACAGGAATGCACAAGGGCAAGCTGCGGAGCAAGTTTTTCAAATGCAGAGCGGTGTACATACTTGGAAGGCTATAAAGCAAATATTGGGGAATTTACTGTGTTTTAATCAGTTCACAAAAATAAAAAAACTATTAACACAACAAAAATTAAAACAATATCCACAACCAAGTTTAGAGGTCTTTCTTAGAGGACATACTAATTTGAAAATGAGAATCTTTATTACAGGGCCAAAACACAAGTTTACACTGTTAAGAGTTGATTTCAGCTGGGTCTGGTGGCACACGCCTATAATCGCAGCACTTGAGGCTGAGGCAGAAGGATCCCCAGGAGTTTGAGGCCAGCCTGGGTTACATAGTGAGTTCAAGGACAGCCTGGACTATATACTGAGACAGTATTTCACACACACAAAAAAAAAAAAAAAAAAATGTTGAGGGGCCAGGGATTTAGCTCAGCAGCTCCGCACCTGCCTTGCAAGTGCAAGGTCCTGAGTTCAATCCCTGGTACCAAAAAAAAAAAAATTGATTTCTACAGAAATCAAAATTCATTCACAATTCTAGGGCATCATTCACCTTACGGAGTGGTATGGTATCTTTAAATTCCACCAAATCCACCAACTGTCTTGCCTTTCCAACTTCCCTTATTTTATAATTTCCCTTATTGTGCTCTCAAAAAAAGAAATTTACACCAGTAGAAACTTATAGATGGTTTTAGAAATGTCAATAAGGCAGAATTTCGCTTTTTCATTTAAATGTTAGTAGGTTAAAAACTAAGTCACCCCTAAGTATATACAGAGGTAACTGGAGAATTGGAAATATCTCCACTCAAAATTTATGTATGTAAAAAAAAATTATGTATGAAAGCCAGGCAATGTGGGGCCTATAATCACAGCAGTCAGGAGGCTGAGGCAGGACTGTCGAAAGTTCAAGGCCAGCTTGGGCTACACAGTGAGTTGAGGGCCAGGCTGAACTATAAAGCGAGAGACCCTGCCTCAAAAAAAAAATTATATATGAATGTTCATAACAGAATATTCCTTAAAGAGCAAAAGTGGGAACAGCTCAAATTCCCATCAACTGGATTTTAAAAGTGTGATATAAGGGCTATGTGTGCAGCTCAGAGCTGGAAAGCTTGCCTAGCACATGCAAGGCTCTGTGTTCAATCCCCAGTAGTACCAAAAAAGGGGGTGAGGGGATATGCCAACACAGTAAATTCAGCCACAAAAAGGAATGAAGTATTAAGACACACTGTAACACACATGAATCTTAAAAATATGCTAAGTGAAAAAAGCAAGAATAGGCAAAATTTATGGACAAAATGTATGTTAGCAGTTAATGGGCTTAGGGAGGGAAGGGGAGAATGAGAAGTGACTTCTAATATACTGGCTTTCTTTCTGAAGTAATAAAAACATTCTGAAATTAAGAGTGGTGGGTGATGTTTGCCTCAGTGTGAAAAAAATCACAATCATATACTAGGCAAAATGTATGTTGTGTGAATTATACTTCAAAAAAATATGAAAAAGGGCTGGGGATTTAGATCAGTTGTTTCGCTGCCTGCTGCGCAAGCGCAAGGACCCGAGTTCGATCCCCGGTACCAAAAAACAAAAACAAAAACAAAAAGTATGAAAAAAAAGACTGGAAAAAGGAGGCCAGAAAGTCTCTAAATGAATATGCTAACATACAAATACAACCATACATACATATATATCACTTCAAAAACTGTTATTAATTCTCCTGAACACAGAAGACTATTCTCACCATGAATAATGGCCTTGTCTCAAGGGCCAATCAGAGCAGAGCTTCTCTAACTTACATCACTGAACTCCAGTGGTAAACTCTCAGTGGGCTGGAGCTCAGCAGCACTCAAGTACAGATCCATGGGGCCGGCTTCCAGATCGTCTGGCACAGACAGTACCTGCTCGGGCTTATACATCTGAGGAGGCAACTGGAAATGCAGTGGACAGCAGGGATCCTCAGAGAGGCTTACAGGAACTGCTTTGTTGCAGGGGACCTCTTCAGATCCCTGGCAGCATTTGAAAAGAACTTGATTCGTATCCTGACAAATATCTGTAGAAAAACGGTCAAGGGAAATAAAACAGGCTCTATTGGAGGAACAAAATACAGGAGGTGCCTCCATGTAAAGCTAGAAATCGAGTACACAGTAAACGCAACTACATTTGATAGAGAAAACCAAATATACTTAGTAGTTTTTAAAGTTACTTCTCAATAATAAATTTTTTTGTTCTTTTTTGAGATAAGGTCTCAGTTTGTAGTTCAGGCTAGCCATGAACTCATGGTGATCCTCCTGACTCAGCCTCCTGAGTGCTGAGATTACAGGTGTATGCCACCATAATTCTTGAAATTTCAAGTGTCATTTCCGAGGATCTAAATCTGGCTCTACCAGTAATTTAAAACTAATCCCTCAGGAGAGATGAAAAAGAAATAAAAGAATGAAGATGTAAGAGCTGTATGTATCAACTCCCCACAATGAATGTACTTGTTACTTATTACAAACTTGTACTAATAAAAAAGTAATTTAATCAATAATGTAATAAATGTAATTTTTAAAAGAAAAAATAAAAATATAAAATTTTTTTTAATTAAAATTTTTTTAAAAACTAGTTCTCAACCTGCTTTTCCTGTTCTCTTTATGACCATGCTAAGCAAGTAGCAATAACACTCCTAGGAAGGAACACATACATACTCAGAAGAAACACGTTACGGCAAACAAACAGCTTGCAGAAACTTGGCTAAATTTGCAAAAACTTCTTGGACTTTGTTTTTGTAACATGATAAACTCCTCTGATGGAGCACAACCCAGGGGAAAATAGAAACTAGTATTCACTAAGTGTCATAACTTGACAAGAAATAGTTTCCATGCCTCTTTTTTTTTTTTTTCAAGAAGATGGTAGTACAGGATAGTCCTGTTACACAATCCTAAAGAAAAAAGAATTTCGCATATGAGGGCCCATGGAAAACAATTACTCCTATAGTAACTTGTTAGGGGTAGAAACAGAAAAAGTCTACATTTCCAACTTGGCAAAGTTCTCGGCAGAATGAACAGAATTTTTACATCACAGTACGTCTCTGATTAGATCAAATAAATTTCAAGCTCAAGTTACTCTACGAAAATAACACTTTCTTGAACTATCTTCTTAGTCTGTCTCCCTCAAGACAGGTTCTTGCTAAGTCACTAAATTGCCCAGGGGAACTCAAAGTTCTGATGCTCCTGGTTCAGGCTCCCAGAGTGCTGGGATTAGACATGTGCCACCACTCTTGGCTTGAAAACTATATGGTTATTTTGCTGTGACTGATAAACAAGTGTTATTTTAAACTTGACCTCTTTTTTAAACTAGAAGTACAACTGTCTTTTTAAACAAATTATAGCAAGATTATGGAGAAATTATGAATAATTTCTCAATTTTTTTTTTTAAG